TATATATATATATATATATATATATATATAAACACACTGTATATATATTATATACTATATTACTATTTATGAAATGATATATATTACTACAGATAAAATATATGATTATATATCATATTAGTTTTTTGTCACAAGAAACATTTGAAACAGTATTTTTTTAATATTTAAATTTTTTTATTATTTTACATATTATTCTGTAAATTTATGCTGTGTAACTACCTGAATATGTATCCGTACTTATAAGAGTAAACTAAAATTACAACCGTAAAAATCCATCTTTGCTACTTGAAATACAATAAACATTAACTGAAATAAAATAATAAAAAACATAACTTAACTTCAGCTAGTTGAAATTTGTTTGTATTTTTCTTCAAGTATTTATATTAATTATTATGTGCAAAGATGTAATATTTTAGTTTATTACTCTTATTCTTTTAAAGTTATTCATAAAAGTTTAGAAAAAACATTGTTTTTTAATGTTCATAAAAGAAGTCTCTTCTGATTAAAAATAAAGCAGTAATATTGTGAAATATTTTTTACAATATAACAACAACACAACAAAAAGACAGTAGAACTGATTTAAAATGAAAACAGAAAATTGAAAGATAAAAATGTATTGAAAATATGCAATAAAAACTGTAATGGTATCTCAATCAAACTACAATAATATAGTATCTACAATAATTCTTTACTAAAGAAAAAAGAATTCTACGCATCTAATCTGTCACTATTGTGCTTTGAGCAACACAATTAACCCCAGACTGCACCATGGGAGCGGTTCCTGTAATCGGTGCACTGCAAATCCATTCTAGATAAAAATCAGCTAACTAATCACAGATGAGAAAGACTCACGGCTCCAAACGCTACAGAGAGCATGGTCTGCATGCACCCGTCCTCCACCGCTCCGATCACTCCTTTCTTATAGAGCAGAGAGCCTCCCACCAGCGTCCAGAACTTGATGTGTTTGATTCCCACCGACACAAACTGAGTGTCCGAGTCCGGCCTGAACTCCACCACGAAGATCCGGTCGCTGTGACCGCCCTTACTGCAAACCCTAGAGCCTGAGATCACATGATGAAAGCATTCACAACAGCGTTTGAATATGCTGAACAAAGTCCAATACCTGTTTCTTACTGATTCCAGAAATAGTGTCTGCTTTGCTCAAACACATCAGTCTCTCACAAAATAAGATGTGCATTTCATAGCATTTTTTCTATTGACTATGGAAGCTTATTTCCACCATGGAATAAAAAAATAAAAAAGGTAAATTTAATTGCCATTTAATATATTTTTTTTGTAGAAAATGTTTTTTTAAAAACCATATCCAACCAAAACGTAAAAAAGGTAATTGCAGTTAAAAAAAAATTATAAGAAAAAAGTCAGAAACTCACAATTATGAGTTTATAACTTTTTTGAGAGAAAAAGACTGAATTGCAAGATGTTAACTCACAATTGCAATTTTTAACATTATTTTCATTATTAAAGAATTATTGTCATTACCAGTGTTATTTTAGTATCATTAAGATACCATTATAATTTTTATCAATATTTAGAATTTTTTATCTTTGTATTTAACTTTTTCATTGTACTTTTAGTAATTTTGTTCCATGGTTTCATCATTTTTATTATTTTTTTTAAATACATCTATGTAGGTTTTTATTAATCTCAGTTTTAGTTATTTTAGTGGCCTAACTAAGTTAAAGCAACTGAAAAAGAGAAATGACCTGAAATTAAATGTTTTTTTTATTTTATTTTAGTTAACTTTTTTTTATTTCTAGTAACAAAGATGTTTTTTGTATGTTTTTAGTTAGAAATGCAGGTTTTATAACTTGCAATTCTGAGCTTTGAACTTTTTTGTGAACTTTTTTTATTCCAGTGCAGAAAGAAAAAACTGAAATGTGAGATGCAAACTTAAAATTCAGAGAAAAAAAGTCAAAATTCTGAAATGTAAAATCAGAATTTAAAAATTCAGAAATCAAAATCAGAGAAAAAAGTCAGAATTGCGAGATTTAAGCTCACAATTGCAAGAAAAAAATTGTCATTGCAGTTTCCTTTTTTATATATTTTTAAGTTTATATATATAACGTGTTTATGTAAAGTTTGTATGTAAAGCGCATTAAAGCTGATACATACATATATATTTTGAAAAAAATAATCCTTATTTTGTGAACAAACTGCACGTGATGGAAAGTTGATGATATGATATTTTTGATCATCATCAAATTAGCTAATGTTAGGCCTTTTTTTTTTTCAGATGCAGGGCTATTTTAAGTATATATTTAGTTAAAACCACTGGTTTTGACACACCTTCCTGCCATCTCCACACAGTGATGGTGTGCTCCGGATCCACTCCCACAGACAGCAGCAGTTTTCCTGTGGCGCTGAAATTGACGTATCCGATCCCTTTAGCGTGAGAGCAGCGCAGCACTGACAGCGTCTGTTTGTTCATGGCGTCCCACACGTGAATAGACGGCGCCAGGCCTACAGACACACACAGACACAGACCGACATCACATTACGACCGCCAGTACTCACAGCTGAAGGACAGATCCACAACTGCTCCTTTTAGCACAAGACACATAAAATCCATATTAGGTGTATTAGAAGACATTAATTATGCAAATGTTGTGGGTTATTTATATTAATAAACAGTGTTGGGAAGCTACTATGAAACTGGATTACAGTAGTTGCACTGCAGTAAAGATGCATTTAGAAAAAGTAGTAACAACTACAAGCTACTAAAAACAAGCAGTTAACTGTTATTTAAAGGGGGATTATACAACTTATTACTTAAGCAGAGCTGTATTTTTTAATGAATTTTTTAAACAGACAAATTTACACAACAAAATGCAACAAATGCACTAAATGCATAGATCAATGCAAAAAAATAAACACAAAAATAAATGCACTAAATGCATAGATAAATGCATAAATACTGTAAATGCCTGAAAAAATGCATACAAGCAAATACAACGCATACATAAATGCATAAATAGACGCATATAAATAACTGCATTAATACATGTAAAAAATAAATGCACTAAATGTAGACAAATGCATGAATAAATGCATACAATCATAAATAAATGAATAAATTAATTAATAAACACATAAATAAAAGCATAAAAACTGCATTTAAACAACTATAAATCAATGCAAAAATAAATGCACTAAATGTAGACAAATGCATGAATAAATGCATACAATCATAAATAAATGAATAAATAAATTCATAAACACATAAATAAAAGCATAAAAACTGCATTTAAACAACTATAAATCAATGCAAAAAGAAATGCACTAAACGTATAGAAAAATGCGTATAAAAATGCATAAATTCATAAATATATGCAATAAAAAATAAATGCACTAAATGCAAAGATAAATGCATGCAAGCTTAAATGAATAAATAAACACATAAATGCATTAATAATGCATATAAATAACTGAATATAAAAAACTATATAAAAATGCAAAAATAAATGCAGTAAATGTATAGATAAATTCATAAATGCACTACATGCATAGAAAAATGCATAAATAAATGCACATAAATAACTGCGTAAATGCATCAATATATGAGTTGAAAACATTGTGCTGCAAAGCAGCATTGAATTAAATGTTCACCACACCACACCAGTATGGCTTGAAAAAAATCTACTCTAATTTGAAAACAATGTAGTTGTACAATGTAATGTAGGAAAAATATAGTGTCGCTACTTTTAGATAGTCACTTCCCCAACACTGTTAATAAAGCAGCAGGATGTGTTTGGGATGGCTATTATGAGTTCATAAGGACAGTCCTCAAGGTTTTCAACATGTCAATAGTAGATATGTATTCTAGCGCTGAGGGAGGGAACGAGGCCTCATGACTCCAAGATGATGACAGAAAATCAAGCCAATCTGCTGCATGATGCTTCATGCAAACATGAGAATGTATTCTTCACAGCGGTGGTCTTTACTGAACCCGGGACATAAAACATGAGGGAAAAGAGAGGATTGCTTGATATAGAGCATATGATCTTAATCTGAAATCTGTGGCATCCAACTTCCAGACCCTCGTGAACCATAGACAGATGTTATTCCATCAAACGTGATATTAAAGATTGATTCACTAAAGAAATATTCAGAGTTCAATACATATTACGATGTAAGCTGTAAGAACCAAATAAATGAATTTAAACTTTAGTTTTGAAAAGTTTTTTAAACAGAGATGTATTGTTCTGGCGTAATGACATTTTGAACAAACAAATTTACACTAAATGCAACAATAAATGCTCTAAATGCATAGAAAAATACATAAATAAAAGCATGAAAACATAAATAGCTGGATAAGTAAATGAAAAATTAAATGCACTAAATATAGATAAATGCATGAATTAATTCATACAAGCAAAAATTAATAAATAAATTCATACATAAATTCAGTTAATGGTTTAAAAGCAGAAATGTGAAGTTTGTATTTTTGTTCAAGTATTTATATTAATTATTATGTGCAAAGATGTAATTTAGTCTTTTACTCTTATTCTTTTAAAGTTATTCATAAAAGTTTAGAAAAAAACAAAAAAAAATGTAATGTTCATAAAAGAAGTCTCTTCTGATTAAAAATAAAGCAGTAATATTGTGAAATATTTTTTACAATATAAAATAGCTGTTTTCTATTTGAATATATTGTAAAATGTAATTTATTCCTGTGATCAAAGCTGAATTTTCAGCATCATTACTTCAGAAGTCGGATTCTAACCAGATTCTTTGATGGTTATTTAAACTGCATTATTTTAGTTTGTTATTATTATTATTCATTTTATATTATTATGTTATATTAAAATATATGATACATTTATTATTTGATGATTATTTACTTCATTATTGCAGTAACTGCATTCATATTATATTTACATATATTATTATGCAAGTTATTCCTATTTAGTTTATTCTTCTAAATGGATAAATCTGTGCACATCATATAGTGCTTACCATATTAACTGGTTTACCATGCATGCATGTAACTGGTAAAGTGTTACAGAATAATGCAAAATGACATGTTAACATTGCAAACTGAATACTGAATCTAAATTCACACCTATGGAACTCTTTCCAAGTGTTTGACTTGTATTGAACCCAAATCATTGCTTTGGAGAATAAAAATGCAAGCTTTAGTTCTATTTTGGAGCCCAAAAACCTGACCTGAATTTCTGGAGTCAAACACAAAAGGTCAGTGAGACAAACTGAAGTCGGATGGCAGGGGGTTCTGCTGTCCTACCTGGATCGGTGATGTCGCCTGTGTGGTGGTGTATTGGATGAGAGCATGAGGCAGTGATGAACAAAAATGAGAGAAGCCAAAGCAGAATTACGTGAGAGATTCAACTTATTTGCACAAATCACAAGCAGGCTTGTTATTAACACAAAACCAAGCAGTGCAGCTGAAAGAAGCAACGCAAAAGTCAATGTGAGCAAATGAAAATGACTCAGATGGTGAAAATGACATGGGTTTGCATTAGGAAATGTGTGTAGAGGCCCACACTTACCGATCTGACCGGTGGCGATGATGTTGAGATATTTGGGATGTTGATTGACAGTCAGACAGAGGATGTCATCCGTGTGCTCCAGATAAAAGCTCTGAGTTCCTGCAAATCACAAACACCTTCATCTACAACTACTTTCATTCTCCAGTCCAGTGTTAAACAGCATGCATGCAGTTCTTATGAGCTCATATGAAAAGAAAGACTACATGTACTTTTAAAAAAGCATCACACTGCAATAATATTTTAGTACACAGCAGAAAATATACTCATCTCATACACTGCTTCAAGTTTTGGATCAGTAAAAGTAAGATTTTTTTATGTTTTTATAAGATGCTCACAATGGCTGTATTTATTTGATTAAAAATACAGTAAAATCAGTTATAATGTGAAATATTATTACAATTTAAAATAGCTGTTTTCTATGTGAATATATTGTAAAATGTAATTTATTTCTGTGATCAAAGCTGAATTTTCAGCATCATTACTCCAGTCTTCAGTGTCACATGATCCTTCAGAAATCATTCTAATATACTGATTTGCTGATTAAGAAACATTTCTGATTATCATCAATGTTGAAAACAGTTGTGTTGCTTCATATTTTTGTGGAAACTGATACATTTTATTTTTCAGGATTCTTTGATGAATAGAAAGTTCAAAAGAACAGCATTTATTTGAAATAGAACTATTTTGCAACATTATAAACTGACATTTACTGTCACTTTTGATCAATTTAATGCATCCATGCTGAATAAAAATGTTAATTTCTAACTTTTTAAACTTTTGAATGGTAGTGTATATTCTAACTGCATACGTAAACTTTAACCAATACTGTAGCACATACTTTATTCATTAATTACTGTTAAAAAAAACAATTTGAAAATAAAATAATGTGTACATTTTAATAATAATTTTCAAATAAATACTGTAGTTATTTTTAGCTGAATTTCAGAAAATATATTTTTTTATTTTTAAATATGTTGCATCTAAAGCTGGTTTCCCACTTCTTCTTTTAAACAGATGTGCAGTTCCCTCTGCAGCCTGTAGAGGTCAGCAGCATCTGGAATCAGATAAGTCTCAGAAGACACGCCCACAAACTCAGTCCATGCATAAACTCAAACTGTACTATTTCAAAGGCTTTAAAACATCTAATAGTGTTTTTCCTGCACATCTGCCACATGTTGAGACACTAAGCCAGAGGTCAGAGGTCAGCAGAGAGGCTGACTCAGGACAGTACCAGCAGAGAGGTTCTGAATAACAGCAGCGGCGGCCGTGTGGAAGATGATGTCTGCTCCATCATTGAGGTAGTGAAGGTTGTTTCGACAGTCAAAGCCCCTGTAGCCAAACACGTGATCCAGAGACAGTTCCTGCAGACACACACAGACATCAACACACACTGACAATAATGAAGACAAGACTGCACCTCCATGAGCTCAAGACCGACTGACCTCCACGATTTTCTTCTTCTTTGTGACGTTGTTCTTCACCAGTTTGTCAGGTAACGGTGTGGCTCGACTCACTGGAGGCCTGCAGGAAACCAATAATGACATAAAAAAAAAAAACGAGTTTATTTCTCAGTATTTTCATCTTGTTTTCTATTACACATATCTAAACATTCTCAAATCAAGGTATAGTTACTTGAGATGCAAAATGACCTAAGATATCAAGTCTTGTTTTCTGATAAATGTATCAAAATGTCTAACAGTGGGGTCAGCAAAATCAACTTACTGTAATTCAAAGGGAAAAATATATTATTTTTCTGACCTCACTGACAAATGTTTTTTTTTCTTTCTTTTTCTTTTTTTTTTAGCATAAACTAATTTCATTTTGCTACATCTTTTCAGAAACAAGACTTTGTATAGAAGTCGTTTTTTGTTTTCGTCTTGATTAAATTTTTCAATATTTGTAATGGAAAACAAGACAAGAATACTAAGAATAAAATAACGTTTTGCAACTTGTGCCTCATTTTCTAATTTTTTTTAATCAAAATTAAGTGAGTTTTTGATTAAAACAAGAACAAATATCTGCCAGTGAGGTCAGAAAAATCTATTTAATGCAAACAAAAAAAATTTTTTTCATTGCTTATTTAATTTTTTTATTTATATATGTTTATTTTGATCGCATTTGGCAGATATTTTTCTTGTTTAAAGCATGAACCCTTCATTTTGATGAAAATTAGAAAACTAGTAAAATCTTATAATAATAAACATACGACATTTATAATATTTTTAATAATAAACATAATAATATCTTACGTTTTTAAACTAGGAAGAAAAAACTACTAAAGAGGAAAAATATCTGTTGCAGTGATGAACTTCATCTGCATTTTTCAGTTGTGTTTTTTTGTATTACCGCTCATCCACAGGGATCTCCTTCTGTAGTTGGTGCGGTTTCACGCCTGTCATTTGTCTTATACTGACAGCGTAGATCTTCGTCGTGTAATCCATGTTCTTTTCCCGAGCGACGTCACTGTCGTACCCTAAACACACAAACGTTAGCTAAATAAAACTGCACATTAAAAATTGTAATAAAAAATGTCAAATTAATTCAATTTAACATTTACATTAAAAATTAAACTAAATTTTTAATTTAAATTCTAAATTAAATGTAATCACAAACAAAAACATTACCTCCATCCTCTTCAGCGTCGTCGTCTGATTCCTCGCTGTCCACAGCTTTGCTCTCGCGTGGACCAATCCCCTCTCTCGCCCAGATCATGAGGGCGGTGTCAGCTCCGCCCACTGACAGCAACATTGCGTCGTCATTGGACCATCGTACACTCGTCACATTGGCACTGTGAGCCACGTACTTTTTAAACTTGGCAAACTGACCCTGTATGGAATTAAAAAAAGCATCAAGGACATTCTACTTAATGCATAAACCTCTGGTTTTATATAATACTTGTACAATAGCATTCAAAAGTTTTTTTTTTAAAGACAATTATATTTTTATTCAGCAAGGACGCATTAATTGTTATTAACTGGACACGTTTTGTCACTATTAAAGGAAAAAAAACCATTTTTTATCAAGAAATATAATAATTGATAAATAAAATATAATAAAACTATAATAAGAAATGCTGTTCTTTTGAAGTTTCTATTCATCAAAAAATCCAAGAAAAAAGTATAAAAATATGAAGCAGTTTTCAACATTGATGATAAGAAGAAAAGCAGCAAATCAGTATATTAGAATGATTCCTGAAGGATCACGTGACACTGAAGACTGGAGCAATGCTGCTGGAAATTCAGCTTTATGTCAGAAGTAAATTAATTTTACAATATATTCACACAGAAAACGACTATTTTGAATTGTAATAATATTTCACAACATTACTGTTTTTACATTATTTATGATAAACAAGGAGAACATAAGAAACTGAAGCATTAAAAATGCTTGCACAGTAGTGTATGTGAATGTATGATGTGCTTTTGCTGCGGTCAGACCTTGCAGGGGAAGCTGAAGAGCTTGACGAAGCCGAAGTCGTCTCCGGTGGCCAGCAGCTTCTTGTCTTTGGTAAGTGAAGAGGCGTTGACGAAGCTGAGCGTCGGCCAGATGCCCTCACAGGTGGGACCCAGCACTGACGTCCACGAGGCCCAATCCATCTTCTCAAACTGAACACACACAAACACACAGTTACGCGCTGATCATGCTGGGGTTGGTGATATATGTGACCCTGGACCACAAAACCCCCAAAAAAGTCTTAAGTGTCAATTTTTCAAAATTGAGATTTATACATCATATCTGAAAGCTGACAATATTTGGTCGAGATACAACTATTTGAAAATCTGGAATCTGAGGGTGCAAACAAATCTAAATATTGAGAAAATCGCCTTTAAAGTTGTCCAAATAAAGTTCTTAGCAATGCATATTACTAATCAAAAATTAAGTTTTGATATATTTACGGTAGGAAATTTACAAAATATCTTCATGGAACATGATCTTAACTTAATATCCTAATGATTTTTGGCATAAAAGAAAAATCTATAATTTTGACCCATACAATGTATTGTTGGCTATTGCTACAAATATACCCCAGCGACTTAAGACTGCTTTTGTGCTCCAGGGTCACATATCTGGCTGTGTGTATTTTTTTTACCTCTAAACTGCTGATAGTTTGTCGTCTTCCACGTGGAGCCTCAAAAAATAGCTGCTCTTTGGCACCAGTGTTGACTTGAAGCAGTTTTCCTGCATTAATACACACAAAAAACTTTGATTATGTGATTATCTGGATCACGTGTTTAAAATATATAACCTATAGTAATGGCAATAAATAATATACAAATTCTTTATATGTAAGTATAAAGAAGACGCTATTTCCTAATAAAAAATAATTCAAGCTAGAGCTGGCCAGAAAGTTTTCTCCATTCAAAACATTATCAAATAATTTCCCTTCAACTGTATTTCACTCAAAGATTAATTCATTACATGCATTAACGTGCATATTATTGCCTGAATATATATTAGTGTTTTGTGTATGTCTGGATTACCGCAGACGTCCCAGTCCACATGTGTGATACAGCTGGACGCTCCTTTACAGATTCCCACCCGCTTACTGCAGTAAGTATTATTTTATTATTATCATTTAAACGTGTGTAATATTAATACACACACACATATATATGTATATTTTTAAGAAATATTTCCATCTTATATAAATATAAATACATATTGCATATGTTTTTTAAACATATACACATGTATATGTGTGTATTAATATAGAAATATAAATATACACAGTACACACACATATATTACGCAAACTTTTATTTTGGATGCAATTAATTGATTTCACAGCCCTAATATGTACATATGACCAAATGATCTATTATACATGCATATCTCCACATATTATAAAGTTATGTTTAAATATTATATAAAAAACCATCTCTGATGAAAATAAATGTTTTCACATCATTTAACCTCTCCAGGGTTGTGTGATCTCTTCAATTTACACACACAGAAACTCATTTTATTTTATTATGGAATAACTTATTTTATTTTACTAACTTGGCAGCAGAGCAAATTTGTGGGTCAAAGCCTACGAGATAAACTCAGCTCTGGAGCTACAAAACTACATGAGGTCTTGTTAGCATTGCATAATGAAACACGTCCCAGGTTTACTGTGATACATGATGATACATGCACAGATTTCGAATGGGAATTTGTATTTTAAATAACATATGTATTATCAGCCTATTTTAATATCTAAAACTGCCGCCCATGCCAGACGGTTACCTTGAGAGAACCTGATGTCAGAGATGATCTCCTTCCTGTGGTGAAAGGTCACCATGTCCTCCAGCGTGTCTGCATTCACCACCAGGAAGCTGCCATCGTTTAGACCCACCGCTAAGGCTTTTCCGTCTGGCGAGAAGGCACAGCATCGACCACCTACAAACACACACATACACCAAACTGTTTGCGATACTGAATTTGCGATCTTCCAAATGTGGCAGGAGGTTAGCGAATCACGAACCTTTCTTAAGTTTCCGGACGGCCACCATGCGATGGTTGGCTGAAAGCTCCCAGATGCGCAGCGTTTTGTCGTCACTCACAGTGGCACAGATGGGCAGCAGAGGATGAGCTGCGAGGCCCCAGACTTCCCCCTCCATATGACCCTAAAACACATCAAACAAAACACACACTTCAACTAGTTGACCTGCCTGACCATCTAATCTGGTTTGTAGGGTTGTAACGATGAACCGCGAGCCGGTTGAAAATAGATTCAAATATGTGACGATTCAAATCGGTTGAGATGCTAAACAAATCGCGAT